CCGATGTTTTCCGCATTCCATTGTGTCACCTCTCTTTGGAAAGGGCACAAATACGGGTCTCCTCAAGTCAATTAGTCAGATAGTTGTCTTCCAAATTTCTTGGCACAGATGAGTAAGTGCCTCCAGTGCCACATCAGTTTGTTGAAAGATTTCAATTTGTATTCCAAAAATTCCCGGAATGTTGTTCTTGCTAACGCCTTCAATGCACCTTGGGACTTCTTCCTTCAGTATCATTGGTTCTTGATCATATGCTACCTCTTGAAATTGCTGAACAACTACCATTTCTTTTTGGTACAGTGACATTGTGTATTCCTTCCATCTTCTTTTGATGCTTCCTGCATCATTCAGCATTTTAATCATAGAATTCAATATTGCCAAGCCAAGGTTTTAATTTTTCCTTCAGTTCCCTCAGCTTAAGAAATGCTAAGCGTATTCTTCCCTTTTGGTTTTCTAACTCCAGGTCTTTGCACATTTCATTACAATATATGGCTCTGTCTTCTCAAGTTGGCCTTTGAAGTTTTCTGTTCAGCTCTTTTACCTCCTCAATTCTTCCATGTGTTTTAGTAGCTCTACACTGGAGAGCAAGTTTCAGAGTCTCTTCTGATATCCATTATGGTCTTTTACTTCATTCTCATCTTCTTAATGACCTTTTGCTTTCTTCCTATACGATGTTCTTGATGTCATCCCACAACTCTTCTGGTCTTCGGTCTTTAGTGTCTAATGCATCAAATCTGTTCTTCAAATGATCTCTAAATTTAGACAGGATATATTCAAGGTCAAGGAGGTTTGGTAGCGTGATGGTATGAGTCAAGCTGCTAACCTCAAGATAAGCAGTTCAAAACTACCAGCTGTTCCACAGGAGAAAGATGAGATTTTCTGCTCCCGTAAACATTTACAGCCTCAGAAACCCTATGCATTGTAGCTATGAGTCGGAACCAAATCCTAACACACAACCACCATCACTACCATATTCAAGGTCATATTTGGACTTATTTTAATTTTCTTCAGCTTCAGCCTGAACTTACTAAGAGCGATTGATGGTCTGTTCCACAGTCTGTCCCTAACCTTGTTTTGGCTAATGACATGGAGCTTTTCCACTGTCTCTTTCCACAAATGTAGTCAATTTGATTTGTGTATTCCATCTGGTCAGGTCCATGTGTATCGTCTTTAATGTTGTTTTAAAAAGCTATTTGCATATGAAAAGAGAAAAAAAGCCACAAAAGCATCTGGTTTCTCCCATATAGGAAATCATTGTTTTCATTTATTAATATTCCTTCTCTCTTGATACAATCCAGTTGTTGTTGTTTAGTGCGGTTGAGTCGATTCTGACTCATAGCAACCCTGTATAGGTTACCCAAGGGGTGACTGGTAGGGTTGAACTGCCCACCTTGCAGTTAGCAGTCCAGTGCTTATCCTACAGTGCTACACCAGGACACCTGATACAATCCTGGTGGTGGTGGTGGTGGTTATGTGCTGTGGAGTCGGTTCTGACCCAGAGTGATCCTGTACAGGATTTCTGAGGCTGTAAATCTTTATGGGAGCAGAAAGCCTCATCTTTCTCCCGTGGAACAGCTGGTAGTTTCAAACTGCTGACCTTGCGGTTCACAGCCCGATTCATAACCACTACGCTACCAGAGCTACTGATAAAACTGAAAATCCTGATTTTCATATTAAAACCTTATCACAAACATAAAAACAAAAAACGCTATTTGCAATGAAAAAGTCATTGGTCATGCAAACATCTATCATGCAATCTCGAGTATCATTTCTATCACCAAGGACATATTTTCCAAATACTGATCCTTCCTCTGTTTCCAACCTTTGAATTCCAATCACCAATAATTATCAACGTATCTTGATTGCATGTTTGGTCAGTTACAGACTGAAGAAGCTGGTGGAATTCTTTCAATTTCATCATCACTGGCTTTAGTGGTTGGTGCATAAATTTGAATAATAGTGATATAAACCAGTCTTCCTTCTAGATTTATGAATATTATCTTATCACATACAGCATTGTACTTAAAGACAGACCTTGGTATGTTCTTTTTGATAATGAATGTGAGTGATGCCATTCCTCTTCAATTTGTCATTGCTGACACAGTAAACCATGTGATTACCAATAAACCATGTGATAATCAGATTCAAAATTGCCAATACCAGTCCATTTCAGCTCACTAATGCCTAGGATATCACTCTTTACTGCATTCCATTTCATTTTTGATAATGTCTAAATTCATACTTCATACATTCCATGTTCCAATGATTAATGAATGTTTACAGCTGTTTCTTTTCATTTTGAGTTGTGCCATCAGCAAATGAAGGTTCCAAAGGCTTTACCCCATTTGCGTCATCAAGGTCAACTCTACTTTGAGTAGGCAGCTCTTCCCCAGCCGTATTTTGAGTGCCTTCCAAACTGAGGGGCTCGCTTTTGGCAACATATCTAACAATATTCTGGTGATCTTCAGCATGTTCCAATATTCATTATTCTGGTACTGACAGTGTTCCACTGCTGTTCATAAGGTTTTCAGTGACTATATATTCAGAAGTAGTCTGTCTCTCCTTCTTCCTAGTCTATCTTTGTCAGAAAGTTCAGCTGAAACCTGTCCACCAAGGGTGGGTATAGCTCCCAGAATCACAGTAACACACAAATCACCACTGTCAGTATGACAAACTCACAGACAAGTGGTGTGTGTAACAACTAATTCTTCAATAAGGCTAAAATTTATGGTTAAAAAAAAATAACCATTCATTAGTTTTTGCCTTATTGAAGGACTAGTTGTTACATGATGCTTATAAGAAACATACCTTATTGATTTAGAAATAAAAGTTGAAAGTAAAAGAACAGAAAAAGATATTCCATGCAAATATAATCCAAAAGAAAGCCTGTTCAACCATGTTGTTGTTAGGTTCCATCAAGTCAGTTCTGACTCATTGTAACCCTATGCAATGAGCAAAACACTGCCCGGTCCTGCACCTTCCTTACAATTGTTGTTACACTTAAGCCCACTGCTCCTGCCTATGTTCCACTCCATCTCATTGGGGTCTTCACTGATGTTCCACTTTACCATGCACAATGGCCTTCTCTAGGGACTTGTTCCTCCTGATAGTATGTCCGAAGTATGAGAGACAAACTCTCACATCCTGGCTTATAAGGAACATTCCGGCGGAACTTAATCTAAACCAGTAATAACTCTTCATTTTAAACTCTTACATAACCAAATACAACACACTACAATTCAAAAACACATATGCTCATTATTAATGTTGTTGTTGTTGTTAACTGCCGTCAAGTGGGTTCCAACTCATAATGACTCTGCCTAAGGTTTCCAAGGGTGTAACTCTGCACAGGTGTAGAAAGCCTCATCTTTTTCCCACAAAGTGGCTAGCAGGCTCAAACTGCTGACCTACTGGTTAACAGTCTAGTGCTTGAGCCACAGTGTTCCTGTAATTAATATTAATATAGATGAATTCCCTTACAAAAATGGCATGAGGAAGGGTAATTATCTTTAGTTTGTTATTTTTGTTAAATGCCATCAAGTTGGTTCTAATTTACAGCCACCCTGTATATTCCAAGGAGCAGCTGATAGGTTTGAACTGCCAACCTTGCTACTACCAGTCTAGTGCCTCTCTTGCACTAGAACTCTTGCACTAGAACACCAGAACTCTCGTCTTTGGTTTATACTATACTATGGTTACGAATCGGGCTGCGAACCTTAAGGTCAGCGGTTCAAAACTACCAGCCGCTCCGCAGAAGAAAGATGAGGCTTTCTACTCCTGTAAGGATTTACACCCTCGGCAACGCTGTACAGGGTCGCTATGGGTCAGAACCGACTCGATGGCACTTAACAACAACAACAACATACTATTTATTAAACTTGCTTTAGAAAGTGATTCTTGTTTTCCTTGGCATGTGATTCAGTAATCTGAGATTACTAAATTCATAAAATAATGAGTTAGACTGAAAATAAAAGTTGTTTTTATTTATTTCTGTAACAGAGTAATTCATACTTTTCAGTGACTTTATTCACAGCTAACAACAAGCAACATAGTCATAAAGTTTAAAATGCATAAATGCAGTTATACAAAGGTTTTCAAACAAGTGGCTTTATTAAAAAAAAAAATCCAGAGTAACTGTTATATGATTTATTTAAAACTAACAGTCAACCACTGTGAACCCTTGTCTCTAGTAACTGAGCTGTGGTATATACAGCCCAACCGTGAGATGCCACCCACCTTAGTTATGAACGTCATGAACACTTGGTTACCTCCACACTTCCCCTAAACTTTTCCTTTGGCCTATACCACATACAACTAGTACTTTTCCTATTAATACTTCTCCCATTATTCCCCTACCCTACTAAGAAAAGGTGGTCACTCCTAATATTTTTGTTAGGCCTTTTACTCCTACATTCATGGGGCTTTGATAGAAAAATGAGTCTTCTCAATTCAACTTTATTTGTTGCTGTTGTTGTTAAGTGCCATTGAGTCGGTTCCAACTCATAGCAACACTGTAAAGGGTTTCTGAGGAGCAGCTGATGAGCTTGAACCGTCAACCTTGTGGTTCAAACTGACCTTGCAGTCCAGTGCATTAACCCACAGTGCCACAGCTTGGATAGAGAAATGAGTCTTCTCAATTTAACTTTCTAGAAAGTATTAAAATTCTTCCTCAGGGGCAGGAGGGTGGTGTATCATATTTAAAGTTATATTGCACAATCTCAATAGATATTTTATTGGGATCTTATACTTTGTTAAAAAAAAAAAACAATAAAAAATAAATTCTCAGTTTAATATCTAAGAGCTCTTGGTTTACCTAAGAATCAAAAACAGAGCAAATTTATATAACTAGAAAAGACAAAACTCATGGCTAGCAACAATCTAAATATAGAAAAAAAGAACCTTACAAGCCTAAACTAAAGAAATATAACCAACAATCCATTTTCACAAATATCAATAAACTAACACAAGAAAAAGGTGGAAAATATTGTATTTTTAAACATTACCAGTTTTAACCGCTCTTTTCTCCTTTTGCCAAAGGAAGTACTTGACCCAGGTTCTGATTCCTTTTTTCCATCTTCATCCTCATCTTCATCCTCATCATCCTCAAAACACCAATCTGGCAATAGAGGTGGTGGTGGTGCTTCCTCTATATCACCATAGCGACGAAAAAGTTCTTTCAAATAATCACCCTTATAGATTCCTGGAGGCCTGGCTTGGGCAAAAGTAGCAACTGCTGCTTCAATACTATGGGAAATAAACAAACACCATACAAGTTCTTTACAATTCTCCAATTATGCAGACACCAAAACTTACATATTCTAATCAAGGTACCATATGAAGTGTAATAGAGACTTGTAAAATAGACAAATAAGAGTCCCCATCTTCAAGACACTCTATCTATTAAGGAGCAAATTCATTATAAGGCAGTTAGATAACCTCTAAAATTCTAGAGGTAAATCGTTATAAGTACATAAAGGGACAAAGAGATTTGGGTGGAGTCTATGAAAGAAGGGAGAATTTGAATAAAACCTTAAAGATTGAGGTATGATCTAAGGGAAAAGTTTTCAAGGCAATGTGAACAGCTGTGTGAACAAAATAAAAGCATGCTGTTTTTAAAAGACTCTTCAACATAAGCAGACAATAAGCGTACAGGTCTTCAAAGACAGGCTAAGCATTGCCTGAATCTGACACAGGTGTCCTAGGTTTTGATGTAGGGCATGCAGACCTGTAAATACATCTGGTAAAGCATCCCTGAGGCTATGTGACTTCAGCTGATTATCTTCAAAGAAGGACCTATCATGTAAACGGCTTTATAAACGTAACCTATCCCTCAATAAATCAATGAGAAAATTCAGTTAACAATATCCATTCTCAGGAATTTCAGGTAGCAAAGTTCACATTTCTCAGGACTTAAAAAGGCACTTATCATGCTGATAAGTTTACATGAGGTAACATATCCTTAAATTACTCCTATAACATTATCAACTGCTCTTTTTAAAGGTCCATTATTAAAATTAAAAAAACAAGAATAGTAACTTCCAAAAGTGAATACAAACACAAAATACTAGGAGAACCTGTCTCTGATAATTCTGTAAAAAGTGGAAAAAAAAGAAATTAGAAACAAACACATAGTATACGGAACACTTAAGCACTCAATTCAAGGAGCTCTGGTAGCACAGTGGTTATAAGTCAGGCTGCTAACGTCAAGGTCAGCATCTCGAAACTACCAGCTGTTCCACGGGAGAAAGATGAAGCTTTCTGCTCCCATAAAGATTTATAGCCTCAGAAACCCTGTACAGGGTCGCTATGAGTCAGAACCAACTCCACAACACACAACCACCAAGCACTCAATTAAAATACCACACTAAGTACAAAACATGAGGGAATGATATTCTAAAGATTAACCAAATCCAAAATGAACACCATGTCAAATTATCTCAATCACAACTTCACCATAAACTTTGCAATAAAAAAGCTAAAACCAAAATATTAATATAAATATTTTTATCAATTGCTAAATATAAGGAGGGCTTCAAAATGCTCATGAAAAAATGGAATTGAAAGATAATTTTCCACAAAATTTTTAAAGACCCTTCATTTTCCATTAGAATAGGAAACAAATACCTCCAGTCCATTTTCTCCACCAAAAAGGCACATATGAGGAAGCCAGTGCGATTGAAACCATGGGTACAATGAACACCTAGAAAATAAAGTAACTTTGGTTTAAAATCAACAATCTACTTCAGATGCATCAATAACTTGAAAATTCCAACCTTCAATCCAAACATTTAAATAACTTTATAAAATAAGTACATAAAAAATAAAAACTTGGAGCCTCTTCTCATAACTAAACTTGCTAGTTTAAGTTTCTTAAAATGAATTTATAACACAAGTTACAAGTTTAAATGCAATGTATTCGTTTATTGTTCAAAAACTGTGTATTGTCTAATGATTTCTCTTATATATTAGTATGAAGGTATTTTCACCAAAGCACAACTCTAAAGACCACATACATGCACATACAAAAAACACTTTTAATAATCCACAGTAGTCCTTGTAACCAATGGCACACATGTGCAAGACAGTCCAACCATATAAAAAGCATCCAAAAACTAAAACAGATCAATGAAACTAATGGAAAAATAAACTGATCTGAGGTTTGATTGGTATCAGCTGAACACAACCAAAGTGACTGGCAAAAAAAATACACCCATTCCTCACTTATTGAAATGGTTAGTGCTCAAAGACCAGATCATTATGTATTATCAGAATTAAGCAAACATCAGGGAACAACCCCATATTCAGTGCTGGTGTACCCCTTCCTCAATCACCACCCATCAGGTTCTCCCAGCACATCTCAGGATGCACTTGGCCTAACAGGTCCCCTGCCCCATCAATCCCTCTTCATCACCACAGATTCCACAGGAGCTAGGAATAGTAGTAGCAGTAGTGGTCGAGTTGTGCCTGGTGGGGACCTTGCTAATCCTCTGCCCACCCAGAGTGAGGATCTTATTCAGTCTTCATCTGCTTTGGGCCCACAAGCCAGCATGGCCTGCTTCCTGCTACTCCACTGCCTTCCTGCCTTCCCCAATCAACCATCAAAGAACCTTCAGGCCCTTTCTCGGGCTCCCCCTGCCTGCAGGGGACCTCACATCGCCCCACAACCTCCTTGTCCAGACCAAGGCATCATAGATGAACAGGAGAAGGCCAACCACAGCCATTACTCAGGTGTCCTGGTTATTAGCAGGGTCTCCATGCTATCCTTTGGGGTGGCTGGTAGAGGGCAATCTAGCTAGCTCAGTCAATACTCCATGTGGGGCTCAATCTAATGGAGACCCCACCTGAGAATATCTTCAAAGTTGTCCTAAAGGCAAATGTCAGTTAAGAGATAGTAAGCAAGGAGTAAGTGTAATTGACTAACTGATAGACATTTGCAGTTATTAAGTGTCATGGAGTCTGTTCTGGCTCATCTCGATCCTATATAGGGTTTCCGAGGTTGTAAATCTTTGCAGAAGCAAAAAGCTTCATCTTTCTCCCACAGAGTGGCTGGTTCACTCAAGCCGCCAACCTTGTAATTCACAGTCAAGTGCTTATCTTACAGAGCCACTGTGCTACCGATAAGCATGTTGTTGATGTGTGCCGTAGAGTGAGTTCCGACTCATAGCGACCCTGTACAGGATTACATGTTGTTGTTGTTGTTGTTATGTGCCGTGGAATCGGTTCCGACTCATAGTGACCCTATACAGGATTTCTGAGGCTGTAAATCTTTACAGGAATAGAAAGTCTCATCTTTCTCCCATGGAACAGCTGGTAGTTTAGAACTGCTGACCTTGCAGTTCGTAGCCCGATTCGTAGCCACTACGCTACCAGAGCTCCTTGGGTTACATGTAGTGCAATAAAAATTAAACTACTTTGATGTTCTCTAGAAACCAACTGATTGTACCTTTAAATTAGCTTAGAATCTTTCTATGTAAACTTTTACAAGAAAAAAACCTGGTGAGAAGAGGAAATTTATTTTTCTTAAATCCCTTTTCAGGATATATCCAAGAAGAGTATGGTCACACCTCTATATTCTGAAGAGCTGCTGGTGAACTTCATAAACTACAAAAATAATTCACTTGCCATTTTTACATCATTTTAACTATTTGGAAAACTTCAGTTAAAACAGCAGGATGGAAAGAAATCACTACATTCTTCAAGAGACCTAAAAATGAAACATACTTGTCATCTCAGTTTACCTGGAGCTACCCTGATGTGCAAAGCTATAACTTTGTCTTAAATGAGGGGGCCTCAGAAAATTCAGGTGGTGGTGATTATGTGCCATGGAGTCGGTTCCAACTCATAGCAACCCTGTACAGGGTTTCCGAGGCTATAAATCTTTGCAGGAGCAGAATGCCTCATCTTCATCCCACGGAAGAGCTGGTAGTTTCGAACAGCTGACCCTGAGGTTAGCAGCCCGATTTATAACCACTACGCTACCAGAGCTCCTTTAGAAAGTTCAGGGGGAAATATAATTAAAAGATAATGACATTTTTCCATGAATTTTCAAAGCCCCCTCATACATATATACAGATCATCCTACTAGGATGCAACCAAAATCAAATACAGAAATAAAATAAAAGCTAGAATTACAAAACTTCAATAAGATAATATGGTTTTAAAAAAAAAAAAAAAACTAACCACCAATTTAATATAAAAAAAAAAAAGACCTGGATAAGCAAAGAACTTCTGAAAAAGAAAAACAAAGTAGGAGGCCTCACACACTTCCCTCCCATCTCAGAACAGCCACAGTAATCAAAACAGCCTGGAATGTTACAATGACAGAACAAAAGAACCAAAAGTAAATCCATCCACATATGGACAGCTGATTTTTAGTAAAGGGCTGAAATCCATTAAATAGGGAGGAGATACTCTCTTTAATAAGTGAAGCAGTGCCCATATCTTACACTTTATACAAAACCTACCTCAAGAGGTTCAGAGACCTAAATTTGTTGTTGTTGTTAGGTGCCACCGATTCAGTACTGACTCACAGTGACCTTATGCACAGCAGAACAAAACACTGCCGGATCCTGGGCCAACCTCACTATCCTTGCCACGCTTGAGCCAATTGATGCTGCCACTTTGCCAATCCATCTCCTTGGGGGTTTTCCTCGTTTTCTCTGACCATCCACCCTACCAAACATGATATCCTTCTCCAGTGACTGGTCCCTCCTGACAATATGTCCGAAATATGAGAGACGAAGTTTGGCCACCTTGGCCTCCAAGGAGCACTCTGGCTGCACTTCTTACAACACAGATCTGTTGGTTCTTTTGGCAGCCCATGGCACTTTTAGTATTCTTCTCCAACACCACAACTCAAAGGCATCAATTAATTCTACGGTCTTCCTTATTCACTGTCCAGCTTTTGCATGCATATAAGGCTATTGAAAATACCATGGCTTAGGTCAGGCGCACCTCAGTCTTCAAGCTGAATCTGAGACCACATGGTTTACTATGCCGGGAATGACAAATGGAAGAGGAATGGTGTAACATTCATTGTCAAAGAGAGCATATCCACATCAGTCATGAAGTACAACGTTGTCTGTGATAGGATAATAGCCATGCGCCTACAATAGTAGCATAGTGGTTACATCTCGTAGCGTAGTGGTTACAAATGGGCTGTGAACCGCAAGGTCAGCAGTTCGAAACTACCAGCTGTTCCGTGGGAGAAAGATGAGGCTCTCTGTTCGTAAAGATTTACAGCCTCGGAAACCCTGCACAGGGTCACTATGAGACGGAACTGACTCCACAGCACACAACAACAACAGTAACAACAAGGGAGACCAGTTAATACTACTATTATTAAAATGTACGCACCAACCACTAAAGCCAGTGAGGATGAAATAGAAGAAGTCTATCAACTTCTTCAATCTGAAATCGATCAAACATGCAATCAAGATGTACTGATCATTACTGGTGATTGGAATGCAAAGGTTGGAAGCAAAGAGGAAGCATCAGTTGGAAAATATGGCCTTGGAGAAAAAAATGATGCTGGAGAAGGCATGAAAGAAAATTCTGCAAAATCAATGATTTGCTCATTTCAAATACCTTCTTTAGACAGCATAAGAGATGACTATACACATGGACCTCGCCAGATGGAATACATAGAAATCAAACTGACTACATCTACAGAAAAAGAAGATGGAAAAGCTCCATACTGTCAGTGAAAACAAGGCCAGGGGCAGACTGTGGAACAGATCATCAATTGCTCATATGCAAATTCAAAGTGAAGCTGAAGAAAATGAAAACAAGTACACGAGAGCCAAAATATGACCTTGAATATATCCCACCTGAATTAAGAGATCATCTGAAGAACAGATTTAATACATTAAACACTAAAGACCGAAGACTAGAAGAGTTGTGGGATGACATCAAGAACATCATACAAGTAGAAAGCAAAAAGTCATTAAGAAGACAAGAAAGAAGGAAAAGATCAAAATGGATGTCAGAAGAAACACTGAAACTTGCTCTCCAGTGTACAGATGCTAAAGCAAATGAAAGAAATGAGGAGGTACAAGAGCTGAACAGAAGATTTCAAAGATGAGCTCGAGAAGATAAAGTCAAATATTACAACAAAATTTTGCAAAGATTTGAAGGCAGAAAACCAGAAAGGAAGAACACGCTCAGCATTTTTCAAGCTTGGGGAACTGAAGAAAAAATTCAAGCCTCAACTTTCATTAGTGAAGGATTATCTGGGCAAGTTACTGAATGATGCAGAAAGCATCAAAAGAAGATGGAAAGAATATATACAGAGTCACTGTACCAAAAAGAAATGGTTGATGTTCAACCATTTCAAGAGGTAACATATGATCAAGAGCCAATCATATTGAAGGAAGACCTACATAGGAAGCCTGAAACTGTAAAAATCATGGAAGAAATGAGAGGCAAACTTAGAGGCCCTCACCTGGCATGAATATCAATAACTAAAAATGTCAAGAGGTAGCATATGATTAAGAACTGATGATATTACAGGAAGAACTTCAAGCTGCACTGAAGGTAACTGGCAAAAAACAAGGCTCCATGAATTGATGGAACACAAATCGAAATCTTTCAACAAAGTGATGCAGCACTGGAGAAACGATCACTCACCTATGCCAAGACATTTGGAAGACAGCTACCTGGCCAGGTGATTGGAAGAGACCCCCATTCATGCCCATTCCA